TTACTGCAGGCAATAATTAAGTAATGACCTTAAAAGAGAATAGCCTAGCAAGTATGCTTACTCAAAATACCAAATTTACCTGAAACCTCATTTCTCCATTTTTCTTCTTTTTTAATCCCTATTTTAAAAAATTAACATGCGCCATCATTAGTTAGTTTCAAATTACCTTTAAATTCCTATACAGAATTTTCAACTTGTTCAGTAAAAAGAATAACAATTCAAAGATGTGAAATATTAAGAAATCACCAACAGCTTGAAACTTGTGGAGTTTCGCACAGAATCTATTTAACAAAGGTCTGGGCACCAAAGAAACCCTTTTCTTTCTCAATGCATGGAACAAACCTCAATCTAGATAAATAATCAAGAAATCCAGAATCTATCTTATCTTTGCCCTCCATACTTATTCACCAACATGTATTGATTACACCGTCTTAATATCTTTTCAATTATTCCTTTATTTCCAATTAACATGTGGGGACTGTTATTGCCTTGGTCTCGATCACTAGCATTATTAATTCAGATTAACAGGATTGTATCCTAAATGGATTCTCTTCCTGTAAACTTATTTTCAATTAATTTTTGTGCATGTCTAGAGTTAACTCTTATTCATTTTAAAAAATATTTATTTATTTTTCTTGGAAAGGCAGATTTACAGAGAGAAGGAGATAGAAAGATTTTCCATCTGCTTGTTCACTCCCAAAGTGGCTACAATGGCCAGAAATGAGTTGATCCAAAGCCAGGAGCCAGGAGCTTCTTCTGAGTCTCCCATACAAGTGCAGGATTCCAAGGCCTTGGGCCATCCTCTACTGCTTTTCCAAGCCACTAGCAGGGATCTGCATGTGAAATGGAATAATGCCCATATGGGATCCTAGTACGTGCATGGTGAGGATTTAGCCACTTGGTCATTGCACCACGCCCTACGGTTCACTCTTCTACAACACAAACATGATCGTTGCATTCCACTGTGGCTGGGCCTGAAACCTAAGCACTCCTGGGATAAATGATAAACTGCGACCATGACCTTAATGATTGGTTCAGAAGCTTCCAGCCCAGTTCCCGTCAGATTCACTGCTTCCTAATCTATGTTTCAATCATTCTGTCTTCCTTTCCTAAACACTATTTCTGGTTAATCTTTGTGAGTTTGCACATGCTGGTTTTTATCTGCTGGAAACACATTCTACCAGCTCCACCTCTTTTTCTAATACCTCCATTGTTGGTTGACCAGGTCTTGTTTGTTTCTTGGGATGTCTTTCCTCCACCCCAAGTCTGACCCAGGTATCTTCTCTGCATGTGCTGCCCTATGATTCTGTTTTGAAACATTAAATATGTTTCACTGTAGTTAAATAAACTACAGAGATGGCAAGTTCCTTGAGAGGTAGATACTAGTCCTGCTTACTTGTTCCTTACCATCTTGCCACACAGTAAGAAAATATTTGGTGAGTAAATTCATATGCACTTCAATCAGTACTATGTATGCACAAAGAACATTATAACCAAACTGTAATCTGTTGTATTTAAAGTAGATTTACAATATGGCTTAGGAGAACTCTGAAACACATCCTGTAACAAAAACAATCTTAAACAAACACAGTAGATAACTATCTATCTCTTGCAATTTACCTGATTATAATGCAGGTAAATTGTTATTTACAGTTACAGACTTAAACTATTAAATACCAATATTTCTGGGAAAGTGTATTATATTTCATTTTTAGGAATGCCATGAACTATTTACCTCTGGCTGCAACTCAGCATTAGAAGTACCCAGTTTCAGTTTATGTAAGTAGTTGGGGACAGAGTTGTAACATGGCGGGGGGGGAGGGGGGGATCAAAAAATTACCAAAGATTCAAGGGACATAAAATGGCAGGACTGGTGTTCTGTAGTCATTAATATTTGAGAACTAACCCAATTCTGGAAACACTGACTTTTCCTGTCTTTTTCTTTCCTTTGAGGACCTGAGGAATTGTTGCCAAGTTCTTACTGGTTATCAACATATCTGATTTCCCACCAGGGTTTCTTCCAACAAACAAGAATGATCTAAAAAGATCTCATGTATTCACATTCTTTTCCCTTAAGCAAGGATTCTGTAGTCAGTATAATTAATACCAAGTACAAAGAAAGCTAAGTAAGCAAACAAATAAGCAAAACACAAGATAGTCATTAACTTCAGGAAAAACAATAGTTTTCACAGAAAAGAAACGTGATTATAGCTCAACTGTGAAATGTTTGACAGAGTCATTATGCAGGAAACAATGAACACTGATCAAACCAAATTATAATATGGAAAAATGGAGCAGAGGGAAATACCTTGCAAATACTTTGCATCAATTTGTGTCTTTTGTTTTGATTTTCACAATAGCAACTTCATATATCATACTGTTTTTAGATTTAAAAGTTTTAAACCTCATTTAAAAGAGATTTAAAGTTTTGAACCTCATTTTGTTTCTTTTTAAGTTTGTGATATTTATAACCTAGCTTATACATGATCCCATCCAAAGGTTAGTAATATTTTTATGCGCAGGTCTGACAAAGTTTTACAATTTTAACTCTTATCTGTGACTCACTTCAAGTTAATTTTTTATGTACAGACAGAAAGCTTGTACTTGGTGCTTCACTCCCATATGCCGACAACAGCAGCCTAGAACTCTATCCAAGTCTATCAGGACTCAAGTGCCTGAGCCAACATCTGCGCTTTAGCAGTAAACTGGACTGGAATCTTAAGAAAACTCAAACCAGTCAATCTGAAATCAGACGCAGGCATGCCAAAGGGTGCCTGCCCCTTTTAATTGCTGCCCCTAACACCTGGGCCCAAGTTAATTGTTTTTCCTCTCTTGTGAAAAGCAGAGTTATAGTGAGGAGAGGAGAAATCTTCATTCTAGATTCTTTCTTCAAACACCTGTAACAGCCAGCGCAAAGCCAAATCAGAAGCTTGGAACTTCATCCAATTTTTCCATGTGGGTGGCAGGTACCCAAGTGTTTGAATCATCATCTGTTGTTTCCCAGGATACATTAGAAGGAAGGTGGAGTGTCAACTTCCTGTTAATGGCCTGGTAAAACAGTGAAGATGGACCAAGTGATTGGGCCCCCGCTACTCATGTGAAAAAATTTTAAGGCATAAAAAAGAAAAAAATTACACACTGAATTGTTTGAAAATTAAAACTTCTGTTCTTTGAAAGACAATAATCAGAAAATAAAAAAACAGAATCTATAGAGACAGAAGAAATACTTGCAAAAGATAGGTAATAGATATATACATACAGTTTATTTTCAAAATAGAATCCTTATACTACAACATAAAGAGAATAACACATGAAAATTTGCTCAAAAGCATTAGTTATTAGAGAAATGTAAATTAAACACCACAATGTGATACCACCAAACATCCACAAGAATGATTAAACTTAAAAATATGACAATACCAGTTGCTAACAAAGATGATGAATAAATATAGCTCTCATTTAATGCAACTGAAATGCAAAAGGGCATAGTTACTTTGAAGAACAAACAGTAGTATTTTTATGAAATTAAACCAACACTTCATTTAGGAACTAGCAGTCTCACCCCTGGGCATTTGTCCAAGGAAAATATCAACATGTTTGTACAAGGATATCTTTAAATGATTACATTACTTTTATTCATGATAGTTCAAACTGGAATACTGCAAAACGTCTATTACCTTGTGACAGAACAGAAAAAATAGTAATAGTTCCACATAGAAGATACAAAGGTAGCAATCAAAAGGAAAACAGTAGTGACACATGGAACACATCTCTCATGTGGTTGCTGGGGTTTAAACATTTGGGCTATCCCTGCTGCTCTCCCAGGCACATTGGCAGGGACCTGAATTGGAAGTGCAGCAGTCAGTGGCTTCACCCTTTAGCCACAGCACCCACTTCAATGAGGTTTCTTAAAAACTAGAAATAAGGGCTCGGCGGCATGGCCTAGGGCTATAGTCCTCACCTTGAACGCACCAGGATCCCATATAGGTGCCGGTTCTAATCCCGGCAGTTCCACTTCCCATCCAGCTCCCTGCTTGTGCCCCAGGAAAGCAATCAAGCACAACCCAAAGCCTTGGGACCCTGCACCCACGTGGGAGACCTAGAGGAGGCTCCTGGCTCCTGGCTTCAGATTGGCGCAGCACTGGACATTGCGGTCACTTGGGAAGTGAATCATCAGACGGAGGATCTTCCTCTCTGTCTCTCATCCTCTTTATATATCTGACTTTGCAATACAGATAAATCTTTAAAAAAAATCTAGAAATAAGATTGTCATTTGATCTAGCAATCAAACACTGGGTATATACACAGAAGACAGGAACACAGTGAATCAAAGAGCTACCTGCACCAGCACCATTCACAATACTCAAAACAGTAATAAATCAAGGTGTCCAGGATATATCTGCACTGTAGAATATCATTCAGCTATAAAAAAGAATATAATTCTACCAGCAGCAGCAAAATGAACACAAATGGAGGACATCATTTTGGGTGAAATAAGCCAGACTCCTGAAGACAAATAAAGCAAATTTCTCCTTATATGTGGGAGCTAAATCTTAAGACAAACAAAAAGAAATGCCTGTAAGCTATTACAAAGACTAAAAAAAAAAAAAAAAGGCAAGGGAAGGAGAGTGGAAAGCAGGAAGGGCTATTATCATCTTCTTAGAGCCTATGTATAAACCACATTGAATATGTTGAAAACTAAGTAAAAATTAAAATAATAAAAAATGAATATATGCTGGTCTTCTAAAGGAAAAAGAATAAGCTATAACACTATGTTCCCTCATCAAAGAATACTATATATTGGAAATAATCAATATGTAGATAGATGTAGCGATTATTTATCATATTATGTACCTTGGATGTCTGAATTTTACCAAAATAGTTTAAAAATAATAAAGAAATGTTGGGAAAATATATGTAATCTGCTTACTGGAAAACATCAAAATACACTGAATGGTTTTATGAATACAAACAAATCATGAGGGCTCAGTGATGAGTACCTTGGCAATAGCAGTTTGCTTATATATGCGAGTGATCAACCCCATGAGAGACACTGGGGTATCTGAATTTGGAGATTTCATTAATCTTTCCCACTCTTCAAAGCTGGTATTCAATTCCTACATGGAAAAAAATAACACTGTTTAGGAATAAAGCACAAAGAACCAAATAATCAATGCCATTATGAATCATGTCCTACATTTTTATTTTCTGAACAGAAAAGTATTTTAAAAAATATCAGCATGTTCTCCGAGGAACATCATCAGGCTAGAGTTAAATCAGTGACGTGTTCGTGCCAATTAATGAAACTAACATCAAATTATAGGTGAAAACAGAACTCTTTGGTAGCATCACAAATTAGTTATGGCTTCCTTTCTAAAGAGAAATATATACATAAGTGTTCATCTAAAAGCAAAAAACAAAGAGGAAGAGGAAAACAGACAGAAATCTTCCATCTGTTGGGTACCCCATAAAAGCTACGGGTTGGTGAGGCTAAAACCAGGAGCCAAGAAATCCACCCAATTTCCCATTCAGGAAGCAGGGACTCACAGAGATGAGCCCTCACCAGCTGCTTCCCAGGCACATGCACTGGGAGCTGGAAGCATTAAGGAGACACTTTACCTGTGGCTCCACAAGGCCTGCCCCAAGGAGAAATATTTTTTAAAGTGAAAACACACATTTAAACACATAAGAAAGCCATGAAATGTCATGAAAATATATATCTTAGCAAAGTATCTTTAGAAAACATATGGCAAAAATAAAAACATATGATTTTACTTAAAGAAGCACAAAGAATAGGCCATTTTAGCTAAACATAAGTACAATATAATCATATATTGACTGTCCATTTTATTTTCAAATGTGCAATAATAAAATCAGATCAATCTTATTTTAGAAATAGCACATTGATCCATGTTCACAAAATGCTTGCTCTCTACGCTCTCAAGATAAAAGAATTTAAAAAAGCTTCTTATGCATAAAGTCATGTCAGAGAATACATAAGCATTATAATCCAAAATATACATACAGAGAGAAGGATCATGTTAAACATACATGTAGAACAGTTTCACCCGTTTGTCTGGAAGACAGCTGTTCACACTTTAAAAATGCTACTGCAAGTAACAAAATTTCCCTCGCTAAGGAAAGGGTTTCATGTCCTATAGATATTTAGGATTCTTAATACCAAATCTTCAGTGAAGTATCTTTTTTCTACATTCATCACAAATAATCTGAATAATCACTAGAATATTCTATCTGCTCACATATTTCATGACTAAAGTTAAATTCTTCCTGCAATGACACAAAAGCAATTCATCTGCTCTATTCATTAAGCCTATTTTAAGAAAGGATTTTCCTCCTGTGAAATGTGAAATATGTACAATCTTTAATGATACAATTTTAAAATATTTAAAGATTTCTAATCAAACCGTGGGTTCTTACTTTGGCTGCTGCTGATGGAAGGTCAAATGGAATACGCTGTCTGATTTTAGGGGGCAACTGGGTTAAAACTTCACTCTTTAATCTTCTAATCATTATATTACTTAGCAGTTGGTGAAGCTCATTAAGATTTGATGCCCCTCTATAATCCCACTGGGATCTTCTACCATAGTATCTGTTAATATAAAGAAAAAACATTTAGCATAGCTGAATATTAGAATAATAAAACATCTCACTCAGTATTTATTTCCTTTCAATTAGAACGCATCATGACACTATTTTCATTGTTATTGACTATTTTCATTTCTGAAAAAAACAAGGGAAAAAAGTGAAAGATTCTCAGTATTAGTCATAATCCTGGGGAAAATATTTGTTGAGAACAGGCCAGATAAATCATATTTATATTTTAGAATACACAATTGTAACTAAAGGGCATAACTGTAGACATTTACCAAAGCACCGATAACTACCAAATATATGCTTTAGGAAAATAAACTACATGCTAAAGAAGGAGATGATGTGACTCCATTTATGTGATGTTCAAAACCGGGCAACTGTAAACGACAGAGCTGTTTGGAGCTCTCAGCGGAAGGCACCGTGGTGGTCACACTGCAGGGGGAGAGGAGACTGACTGGCAGAGCCTTCAGAGCGAGGATCTGTGAGCTCCAGTGATGCTTAACGTCTGAACATGCTGTTCAGGATTGATCCGCTGATCAATTTAGTTCATTAAACTGCAGAGCTATGTATTAAGTTCTACATATGCCTTACATTTCACAAAAAAAAAGAATAAAATAAAAAATAAAAACTAGTCTCAAAAGTTCATTCAGATAAATTAATGCAAGCCAGGGTGAACTGATGACTCTAAGGGCATAAAGGTCATTGCAAATGGGTGCTACTGGTATTTTGGGTAAACTACACGACAGTATGGTTAGTAGCTCCAGCCCAAAGTGTAAGTGAATTGCACTTTTACCAGCTAATCTTCTTAATTACCCAAGACATCCACAAACATCCTTCATGCCCTCTAGGAGTTCATATTATATCCAACTGAATTGTTTAGCATAGCAGATTGATTTCTTAGTGGTCTCTTCTTCCTTTGAAATCAATGGACTGACAGTAAAGGAATTTTTAAAAAGACACGAATTTATTGTGAAACAACGAGAGAAGGCATTAGAAGATAAGTGATTTTAAGAAATGTTTAGAAGGCAAAATTCAGAGAGACTTGTGGTGACTTGGGGTGGGGGAGTGGGGGGGACACAGATGCTATAGCTTCAAAAACGGCTTGTCCTCCAAGACCACTGAGAAGATCAGGAGTTGGAAGCGGCCACTCTGCTAAACTCCGCAACCGACTTTTAGCCAGAGGGCTACCTACTGCATTTAGCTGCCTGTTTAAATTTCAGTATTACATCTTTTAAAGAATTCAGTAAAGCAATACCTACACACAGTTGAAAGAGCAAAGAGAGGACTTTCACACAATGAGGATCAATAAGCTCCAGCTGTGCTCCACCTGCCCTGCTTCAAACTGAGAACAGATATACTACACAGGCAAAACAGAAATCCGCAACCAGGAACAAACACAAGATAAATGTCTCTGTGACCCAGAAACAGGACCCAAATGTAAAGAAGAGAACAGGGTCAAAGCTATGAATCTGCTTATTTACATCTAAGAACAGGCAGTGGGAGTCAACAATTCAGGGTTGCAGTGATAAAGCATTTTGGTACAGTTTTAGATACATCATGAATTTTCCGGGAATCATAAATGTTGTGAGCTGAAAGGGATTCTGCACTTTGCTTTGTTTGGAACTCAACAATGTCCCACTTTGGAATCCCATGCCACCAACACTAAAACACTGCAGTAGTTGAAATGCAAAAATGCACAGCTCTAATAGCTTGAATTTCTATGAGGTTCATAATGATTCAACAAATTCCACATTCATCTTATGGTTCACATTTTTCCCAGTTAACAATTCTGAAATTCAAAGATGGGTATTGGCTAAATTGCAGTGGTTTTTCTTTGGGTGGCTTGTAAAATAACAGTGCATATTACAATCAATGGAATCTTTAATTCAACTCATAATTTAAATATATTTGTTTTATTCTAATTTAAAATTTTCTAGCAGAGTAGCTCTTTTCTATCAGTTTCCACAGGAAAGAACATATTTCTATTAGTTTCCTTAATTTTTCTCCTCATCTATCTTATGCAGGGTTCTATTTATTTTCTTAAAGTTAGAGGTGCACAAAAATGACTATACCTGTGGTTTTCATATCATTATAATTAGGGCAGCATTACACACCACTTACTGTGAAAGGGGGGCATTAGGTTCACAGCATTAGGAAAAAGTCATCTACAACATGACTGCCTTCCTCATGCTCAAGTACAGCTGTTGCAATATACACACATATACACATATGACTAAGTTCTGGAGGAAACCCGAGACTATTCGAAGCTAGTAGCCTGGCACCTCCTCCAGATCTCCCAAGTAGATTCAGAGTCCTCCAGTCATAAATAGAGTCATCCCAGGTCATAAGTAGAGACTGGATTGGAAGTGCAACAGCTGGGACATGACTTGGCACCCATATGGAATACTTGCATCATAGGGTAGAGGATTAGCTTATTCAGCCATGGCGCCAGCCCCAATCATGTTTTAAAAGTGTTTTTACTAACATCTATTTGGTATTAGCTTATGATGATCAAATAAAAGTTTATGGCAAAAACCATGCATGCAACACACACATTCAAGAGTCAATACTTGACTAACAGTCTCTTCTTCCCATCCTCAACTCCTGCCAATTGCTGATCTATTTTTTGCCACTGTAGTTTTGAACATTCTAGAATGTTATACATTTAGATTCATATAGTATGTATAACTTTGAATCTTATTTCTTTCACTTGGCACAATGCATTTGGAATTCCTATATATTATTGGTTGAATTAGGAGTTCATTCCTTTTTTATTGCTGAGTAACACATACATGGTAGAGCTGTATCATCACTTGTGCATTTACTTCAGCTGAAGGACAATTTGATCGGTTCTATTTTGATGCATCTACACAGCAAATGTATAACATTTTCATATAGGTCACTTGGTGAACTTTTTTTCACTTCTCTTGACTACATACCCCTGAAGGAGATTTCTATGTTGTATGGTAAGTGTATATTTAACTCTTTAACAAAATACTACCCTGTTTTCTAAAGTGGCTGAAGACTTTATAGCCCCACTAAGAATGTATGAAAGTTCCAGTTGAGCATGTGTTCATATACTTTACATTTTGTGCATTTTTTTAACTTAAAATTTTATTTCAGATGATGTTCACATAGTTGATCAGAGTGGGAAGGATCGAGGGTTATGGAAAAGTGGGTATAATTGTTGTTTCCAAATTTTCTACTTCCTCCTGTTTCTGTGAGAAATGGGACAAAAAGAGGAGAATCCACACCATCCCAGTACACTGGGATGGGGAATGGCCACCTGATATCAACCCAGGGTTCCTATGTGGCACACACGTGAAGGGTTCTGGCCAGGTAGTTTTGATAGTTCTGAAATGCTGTCAATCTCACTGATTCAAGGATGAGGAAATCCTTCCAATAGCCATTGGCTGACATACAGGACCTAAAGTGTCCATTTGCCCAGATATTTGCTGGGATAGTTGTCCAAATTGTTCTGTTCTTCTTCCTCTGCTACAGTACCAGATATACCCTGCAGGCTCCAGAAGGCTGCCATAACTTCCATGTGCATCAGGGCCTGACATCCACTACTCTGTCTTTCCCACTGAGGACGAGTTCTTACAGGTGGGCCTATGGACCTGGGCAAGGAGACCCAGAGCCCCACCAGATTTCTTGCCCCAGGGCTCACCATGTAGTCAGGCAAAGCACACAGGCCAGATGACTGGAACTCAGCTGGAATCCCTCCCTCCCACTCTCCTGGCCTCATGACCCATCACCCTTCACACAGGTGGATCCAGTGACCAGGGCCAGGACCTGTGCCCTGCGGGAACTCCATTCCAGGGGTTCAAACACTCTACACTCACCGTGAAGGAAGGCCCAGGGAACTGGGCCAGAACTCAGGTCCTGCTGGGCCACCTTCCTAGGGCTTCAAAGACGCAGGACCCACCATGCAGGTGGAGCCAGATGACCTGAGCTGCACTGGATCCCCTGCCCCTAGGGCTCACAGACCTGGTACCAGTGACGTGGGCCAGGTGACCCGAGCCTTGCCTGACCCCACGTGCCTGGGGCTCATGGACCCTCCAACCAACACCCATGCGGGCTAAGGGCCCAGAAATAAAAACTGCTTTGTTTAAAATCCATTTTTAAGGCAGAGCAACAGAGAATAGTGACAGAGGCAGAGAGAGAGAGAGATGTCTTCCACCAGCTGGTTCACATCTCAAATATTCACAAAAGGCAAGGCAATGTCAAACAGAAACCAGCAGTCTGGGACTCACTGTGGTATTCCCACATGGGCAACAGGGACCAAAAAGAGTGAGTCATCATGTACAGATTGCTGGGATGCACTGACAGAACAGTGAACTGCAAACAGCAGAGTTGGGACCTGAATTGGCATTCTAATATGAGACGTTGGTGTCACAAACTTCCCCAGACTCCTCTATATCATCTTAGGTGAGTGGTTAAATATTATGTTTAAATTATCACTGTTTTGGGCCAAATGTAGTAGCCTACTGGCTAATTTCCTTGCCTTGCATGCAACTGGATCCCATATGGGCACTGGTTCTAATCCCAGCAGCCCCTCTTCCCATTTAGTTCTGTGCTTGCCACCTGGGAAAGCAGTCGAGGATGGCCCAAAGCCTTGGGTTCCTGTACCCATGTGGGAGACCCAGAAGAGGCTTCAGGCCCAGGGCTTCAGATTGGCTCAGCACTAGCCATTGTGGCTGCTTGGAGAGTGAATCAACAGATGGATGATTCTTCTGTCTGTCTTTCCTCCTCTGTGTATATCTGCCTTTCAATCAAAAATAAATCCTTAAAAGAAAATTATCACTATTTTGAAGCTATTTAAAATATGTTCTTTTACTAATTTCTTTCTGAATACTTATGCAGACATCCATTTCATATTTATGCTGAATTTCGTAAATGTGTATAAATCTATCATACAAAATAAATACAAATAGATAATATAAGCATATATACACATGTAAATATATAACTTATTTCCTTCATCAAATATGAGAC